GTTAGGCTACTTCGTAAGATTTGTGCAGATTTTGATCAGGTATCAAGGGCTTTGCATGGAGCTACTTACGTTTGAAGTGTAAGGTGTTTGAAGTTTAAGTGTGGGAGAGCCATGCTTCGGCACGAATGGGTCGGCTCGACCGGAGTGATACCACGGCCTCACAGAAAACCGGCGTGAAACAACCACAGCGTTGTGTTTCGCCGTGTGAGTGAGGTTACCGGAGGCCCAATACTTCTCCACCCCCAATTCCTCCTCAATCCCTAAATCTCCAAATCCCTAATCCCTAAAAGGTCGGCAACGCACTCGTAACTCCTCCGTTGCGGGTGTCCATGGGCGGCGCGGATTACTTACCATCAGGTAATCCGTCTGCTCGTTTGCCGATCTATTAAATAATAATAATAAAAAAAAGGTCGAGGTTACGGGTGTAAGTGCAAGAAAGGAATGGTTCAGTAGTTTTTAATAAGAGTGTGATCCAGCCTCTTAGGGCTGGAGAAGACGCAGAAGGCATGAATGGGCCTTTTTTGTCAGGGTAAAATCATCAAATGACTTCTCCCGCTCAGGTTTAGGCGAGAGAGAGTGTCAGACTCTTACTGACTAAAAACCCCCCGTTCCTTCTCGAGGCATGAATGGGCCTGCCACGGCTTGTAAGAAAGCCGACGTGAAACGAAGCTCGCGTTGTTTTTTGCTGTGTGAGTTTCAATTTCCTTCCCTCCCATTATCAAACCCCCTTAATTCGTAAATAGCTAATGCCTAAAAGACCGGTATCATCATCATCAGCTTAAGGTGCCCACTGCTGAGCAAAGGCCTCTTCTTATACGGTGAAGGTTTAAGCAAGGTTTGACCATTAATCACCACGCTTGCTCAATGCGGGTTGGCGATTTCAAACTTATAATTTAGAAATTATAAGTCCAGGTTTCCTCACGATATTTACCTTCACCGTATGTCAGTGGTGTCTAAATAATCATAGACAGTACATATAACTCGGAAAAAGTCACATTGGTACTTGCCCGGTTTCGAACCCACACCCTCATGCCGCATGAGAAGCGGGCTCCTTAACCTCTGGCCCACCACGACGTTTTTAAAAGCCAGTAACGCGCTGACAACTATTGGGTGGTGATGCGGGTGTCCATTGGCGGCGCCGATTGCTTACCATGAGGTCAAGATCCTAGAAGTTTTAGAGTTATATCGATTGAAGTATTAAGAAAATAATTATTATTTAGAAATCGCAATGTTTATTATTATAATTTGAACGAAATTTCAAGTACCTAAATTTTTTACAATCGAACGGACCGGATTATATAACCTTTTTATTACGTACCTACTTGCATAAAAATACATGTGATTACCTAAGTTCCTTCTAAGTATTTATGTACATATTTGGTATACATATTTTACTGTATTTTAATGATGTGTGCTAGCACTTTTATACTCTTTCGCGTAGAAAAAAAAATAGTTATAATTAAGTACAGTGTCCGTTCAGGTCCTTTCAATAGGATTATACATGCATCATCTGTCTTTTTCATCATGAAACCAAGCCATGAGTATAAATGTGGATGGATGGAGAGGGAGAGGGAGACCAAAGAAAATATGGATAGATTGTGTGAGAAGTGATATGGAAGACAGAGGAGTTAGTGATAGCGTGACGGGTGACAGGACAGAATGGAAGAAAAAACATATTGCGCCGACCCCAAATAAAACGGGACAAGGGCAGGAAGATGATTTTCTTTTTGCCCTGGAACTATGGCTGGTGTGGAATAGCACTTAAGTAGTGTTTTGCCGTGTCAGTTAGATTACCGGAGACCTCCTTTGTCTATCCTACTCGCCAAAAGCTGGTAATGCACTTGCAAGTTTTCGATGTTGCTGGTGCCACAGGCGGCGCCGATTGCTTACCATCAGTTGACTAGTGTAGGGGACACTGGTGCTTTGACCATACTATAAAAAACGGTTTTTTATACAACAAATATTTACAATAGGTATTTGAAATTTAAAAGATATTTTTTCAAAACACAAAGGCTAGCTTAATATAGATATGCCCGCGAAATCGCAAATAAGTCACTATTTAGGTACTATCATTTGTTATCTTTTATCGATATGTATTTATCGATAATAATCGTCTACACATCTGTTTGTCTGGTCTTTATAAAGCGGCTACTATATTTTCGTCACTGTGACATTTATTTTTATACCCTTATCTATGTATTGTATATGATTCACCATTCTTTTTTTTTTGACTACGGTATGGCCACGTTACCAGGTGCTTAACCTAAGGTTCCATGAGCTACCTTTCATCCTTCAAATAGATTCAAAGATTTTTATAATAGAATTCGTTACAAGTCCAGTTAATAAAAGCGTGATAAAAAAAAACAAATTTGTTTATACTGCCAACGCGTCTCGCGGTAGCCGGGTACTGCTATCTTACTTATTTCTTATTATACTTTCGTATTATACTTTCGCATTTATAATATTAGTAAGAAATAAGATTCGTTACACGTCGATGTATAAATTAAAAATTTAAAAAGCCCCCGACACAAAAAACATCTATACAAGCTACCTTTAAAAAGTATATGCCTAATACAAAAAAAAAAAAAATTGAAATTGTTTCATCCGTGCAGACAGACATGTCAAACTTGGTAAAATTGTTGTTTTTGTGACGTACAAGTATACCTTTCATTTGATACCCCACTTGAGCACTTTAAACCCCATAACTTTTAAAAGGCTCCATCGATTTTAATTAAACATGTCTAAGAACACTACAACATGAGGGGCATTCCGCGACACGCGACACGGCGACTGTCGCGCTGCTACTGAGAGCTGTAGCTACTGAGAGTAGCAACGCGACATGAATATGGGCCTCTAGCATGGCTTGAAACTAGTCGAGTATCTCGTCAAATTATAACGCGAGTAAGCCGAAAACATAATAATTAGCTCTAAATATTAAAAAGAGAAAGCGACTTTGTTTTATACTGTGTAGTGATGTTTAGGATATAGTCTATTTGGAAACAGGCTCTTGTTAGGACTAATTAAACAGTATTAGTGTGTTCCTAAGTAATGAAGTTGATAACTGGTAATTAGTATTCTGTTGTTATGTTGGTATAATAATTATTCGTGACTGAGATGTTTTAGTTAGTACATTTTACAATGAATACCCAAAGAAATGGGGAAATCTATACTAATATTATAAAGAGGTAAAATTTGTAAGTTTGTATGTAGGGGTAATCTTTGGAACCGCTGGTCGGATTGCCAAAATTCTTTCACTGATAGCTACAATGTTCCTGAGTGCTATAGGCTATAAAACATCACGCTACGATCAAACGGAGCTGAGCAGCGGGCGAGAGTAGCTACTGTTTAATATATACTAATTGTTTTACGGTCGCCATTTTTCTTTCCTTTTGTCTTTTTATGTGAAATACTTCTCAAATGAGCAGGATTACCTGATGGTAAGCAATCAGCGCCGTCCATGTCTCACAATAGTTACATTTTTTAAACGTTTCTGTACACTAGAATTTTATCCTGTGTCGTATGTGAGTTTACAGACATACAATTTCACATATACGTACATGACACAAAGACCTGAAATAATAATTTGTGGATCGCACCGAGTTGTTCCGTGCGGGAATCGAACCCGCATATGGCGGGGTAGTCTAGTGGTGTAGACTGCGGCTGGGGTTGCGGGTTAAGCGCAATAAGTCACCGTGGCCTCGGCCCAGAGCAGGAGAAGGAACAGGGGGGTTTTTAGTCAGTAAGAGTCTGACACTTTCTCTCGCCTCACCCTGGCCGGGTGAAGTCATTTGATGATTTTCCCCTCACAAAAAAACTATCTTAATAGCAGCTGGTCTTCCAACCACTGATGTGGAAGTTGACTGTATTGTGCGCCAATACAGTCTACGTCCACATCACCCCCCCCTCCACATCCCCTCCCCCCAATCATTTCAAGTGTTTACGTTCTTCCATAGTATGTCCTTTATTGATACGACCTACTTGATATGTGTTTTGATTAATTTTCCATTCGAGTTCGTCACAGACAAGATTATGACGGTACTTTTAAGTGGTGGTTATGAGTCATAGATACAGGAATCGTGTGTTTTGTCGTGAATGCGCTTGCGCATATGTTAACCTTTCATTCGTGGTTACTCGAGACACAATAGAAGAACAGCAGGTGCTCGAACGCCGGCGTCCGCTTGGGGTTTGATGAATTTAATACAAATTAAGTCTGATGGCATACAATAGAGCTCCATTCCGTACCTGTTTGTCTTGATTGAGAGTTTAAAAATAAGGTAGTTTCCTAGGTCAAAATAAAAATAAATTAATTCGACGTTTCAATACAATAAAATATTAAAAAAATAACTATATGTACTTTTATTCATCGATCGATCGATACGCTAAGTTTTACATATTTTTTAACTAATTTCAAAGAAAAAAGTTAACTATTTGACGCAAAAATACAATGAATACTTATTACAGCATTTTGATGCTAAGCTGTGAACCTACGCACACAATGACACGAAGCCCGTTTGTTTAATTTTATTGCGCGCAATGTCGTAATAAAATTATTATTTTTTTGATACCTAAAAATAAAAGTCGTTTCCCAGTGATAATTTTAGCTTAAAGCTACTTAGTTAGAACTGCAGTATGCGTAGTTAACAGCTTCGACACCCTGTATATCTATACTAATATTATAAAGAGGTAAAATTTGTAAGTTTGTATGTAGGGGGTAATCTTTGGAACCGCTGGTCGGATTGCGAAAATTCTTTCACTGATAGGTAGCTACAATGTTCCTGAGTGCTATAGGCTATAAAACATCACGCTAAGATGAAATGGAGAAGAGCAGCGGGTGAAACCGCGTGAGAGTAGCTAGTAATACATATATTAATTGTATTTTTAATTAATTTAAAACCGAAATTTCGGTCGAACACAAACGTAAACCTACGAAAATAAATGCTACCCTATAAGGTATTGTTAACTTAACAAAAATCTTAATTTTCCTTTCTAATTGTCCACAGAAAAGTATCCACAAATCAAGAAGCTGTTCGGATACGATCCAAACTTCAAATGGGTGGTGACGGGAATGGTGTTAGTCCAGATCATTTCCCTACCATTTGTCACTCAACTCAGCTGGCCTATGATGCTCGTAGTAGCTTACTGCTTCGGTGGAGTTATCAATCATTCTCTTATGTTGGGTAAGTAAATAAGAAATTTTATAAAATGCTTATAGTACGTAGGTGAGCCGTCCCAATTGCCGACCTTTGTTTCATCATCCAATGACTTCTCCCGCCCAGGGTAAGGCGAGAGAGAGTGTCAGGCTCTTACTGACTAAAAACCCCCCGTTTCTTCTCCTGCTCTGGGCCGTGGTCGCGGTGCCTCATTGCGCTTACCCCGCAACCCCGGCTGAACATCAGCCCTATTGGGCCCCGTCTGTGGTGGTCTATTGGCTCTTTAAGGCGCGCGCGGAACGCTACGCGCCGTACGCTCGGGTCCGGTTCTGGCCGGGCGGCGAACTACTCCAACCCAAGTGCCGACCTATTACGTAAAAAAAACCTATTAATAAATAATTTAAAGAAAACGTGGCGTTGGGGACCGAGCCATACATTTTATTATCAACCCCATATTTCTATTTTGTCGGAGGTGTAATTTTTTTTTATTTTATACTTTTCATATCATTTCCTATCGATTAAGTCATCAACATTCCCTTTTAGTGCGCTTTCATTTGAGACCCCACTCGAGTATATTTGCAGACCTTCGTTTACCCTTCCCCACTTACCCCCCCATAACTTCTAAACGGCTCAACCGATTTTCGTCAAACATGTCTAAGAACACACGCAGTTAAATCACGTTTAATACAAAAATCAACTAAATGAAATCGCTTCACCCGTTCAGGCTCCAGCATGCCACAGACAGACAGACAGGCAGACACGTCAAACTTATAACACCCCTCTCTTTGCGTCGGGGGTTAAAAAAATACTTGTTTCCTACTATCCATTTTCTTTCTCATACATCGCTCTTTCTGATAAACCTGTACCTTTTCAAAGCGATTTCTTCTTGCTTTCTCATTCATACTTATCTTCAAGAATTATAAGCGAAAAGATTTCTAACAACAATACATCAAACGTCAATCAACCACCTGACACCTGCATCTGTATTTATTATGTCCATAGATAAGTGCTATCAGGTCTCTTATCAGGTAATTTCCAATGATCAGGGCACTTGAAATGTGTGTCATATCGTGTCACGTAAGCTTTATCAGTCTATTTAGAATTTCAAGTGGAAATAGATTTCTGAATACTTGTTACTTGATAGTGATCGAGTGGAATGCAATGTGTCATTTCTTTTATATGATTGGGAGTCACGATTTGTTTGTCTTAAAGTTGTGATTGCTTGGGATTTTATCGTCGATTCGTTTTTTTGCTCTGTTTTTTTTTTTTCATTATTTAATAGATCGGCAAACGAGCAGACGGATTACCTGATGTTAAGTAATCAGCGCCGCCCATGGACACCCGTAACGGAGGAGTTACGAGTGCGTTGCCGACCTTTTAGGGATTTGGAGATTTAGGGATTGAAGAGGGATTGGGGGTGGGAAAGGATTGGGCCTCTGGTAACTTACTCACACGGCGAAACGCAACGCTGTGGTTGTTTTACGCCGGTTTTCTGGGAGGCCGTGGTATCACTCCGGTCGAGCCGACCCAATCGTGCCGAAGCTTGGCTCTCCCACACTTAACTTGTTTTAGAGGGCGTTCATAAATTTGTGATTTTTTTTTTCAAAATTTTGTGTCTCTCCCTTCCCTCTTGGTGAGATGGCGTCAGATCTTGTTCAACCCTTTCCCCCATCTCCGAATCTTTCGTGATAATTTTCAGAATGTGGGTTTCTTATGTGGCTCTCATCGTGTTTGATTGGTGTTGTAATAATTATAAATTTAAAATTTAAAATACCCCCGACAAAAAATCTAATATTCCTTTAAAAAGTAATAATTAAAAGAAGGCGTTGGGGGACCGATCCAAATATTATCAACCACATAATTCTATTTTGTCGGGGGGCTATTTTTTATAGGTATTTTATATCATTTTCTCTCGATTAAGTCATCAACTTTCCCTTTCAGTGCGCTTTCATTTGACACCTCACTCGAGTATATTTGCAGACCTTCGGTTACCCTTCCCCACTTACCCCCATATCTTCTAAACGGCTCAACCGATTTTCGTCAAATATGTCTAAGAACACACGCACGTAAGTCACCTTTAATACAAAAAAAAACTAAATTGAAATCGCTTCAACCGTTCAGGATGCCACAGACAGACAGACAGACACGTCAAACACCCCTCTTTTTGCGTCGGGGGTTTTTTGTACGACTAGACCTAGACACCTTACTAATATGAGGTTAAATGAGATTTGACTCGACCCCTCTCCTCTTAATCATGTCACGTAATTTATGGCCAATATCAGAAAACAATTAAAAAGAAGCTAGAAAGTGGGAACGAGCTGTGTTTCAAAGCCTTGCAGAAAGCCGACGAGAAAACAACGCTTGCATTATATCCGCCGTATGAATTAGATGACCAAGTGCCTAATCCGAAAATCACAATTCCGAAAGCGCTGGCAACGCACTGACAACTTCTACAGTGAAACTTGTCTCTATAGGCGACTAGCTAGTCCGCATAGTGATGTATATGCGAATATATAGCACCAAGGACTAGTGACGTCAAATTTGTGTAAAATCACAATATCTTTTCGGTGTGAATTTTTCACACATATGCGGATAGATGTTTCCATAATTCTGTAATATATTTTAACCCATAGAAAGATCTGGACAGCCGATAAAAATAAAAACTCTCGCGAATTTTATTTGCTTATGCATTCATAGCCTTGCTTTTTCCGCACAACCGATAAAATCGAGCAAATTTTATTTAGCTGTGCTCCAGCCTTGCTTTTTGCACACGTTGCATAATTGCACGGTTGTGACAGCACGGTGGCTGGGCAACTGGCTGCTGTTCGATTCCCGCACGAAATAACTCTTTGTGTGATCAACAAATTGTCGTTCCGGGTCTGGGTGTGATGTGTATGTGAGATTGTATGTTTGTAATCCCCCACCCACGACACAGGAGAAGAACATAAAGCGAGGTTGTGTTTTGCGAATCTCTGGATTCCACGTAGATGTCAATTTAAAGCGTAATCATATGATGTAAATATGAACCGCGAAAGTTTAAAAGTTAGTATTGTACAATTCGTTTAGTTATCTAACGTGCAAAAATATTTTTATACTGTATTGAACATACGCTATTTTGAAAATAAGTAGCCTTGGGAATAAGAAACAGTAAATGAGTCATAATTCTCTATCTGTAAAGTTTACATTTGCATGTTATGTATTTATGTAAACGATTAGGTACTTCGCTGGTCGAGTACATAATGGTTTTTTTGTAATGTTTAGAAAGTTTCCAGTATTATAATGCTACTAGCTCTTTCCTTCTTAAAATTTTCCTCAAATAACCAAGCTTCAGCACGAATGGGTCGCTTCGACCGAAGTGATACCACGGCCTCGCAGAAAACCATCGTCATAATCATCATCAGCCTATAAGTGCCCACTGCTGAGCAAAGGCCTGTTCTCACACGGAGAAGGTTTGAGCATTAATCACCACGCTTGCTCAATGCGAGTTGGCGATTTCAAACTTATAATTAGAAATTATGAGTCCAGATTTCCTCACGATGTTTACCTTCACCGTATGTCAGTGGTGTCTTAATAATTATAGAAAGTACATATAACTCGAAAAAATTCACATTAGTACTTGCCAGGTTTCGAACTGAGGGTGTCCTCATTCATGAGAAGCGGGCTCCTTAACCTCCGGGCCACCACGACATCTCGGGGCCGCCACGACATGGGCAGAAAACCAATACTTACGTTGTGTTTCTCCGTGTGTGTGAGCTTACCAGAGGTCCAAATGGCTCTCCCACACTTAGACTCAAGCTCCTATCTCTTCCTCTGAGTTGGGGTCGCTGTAAAATACTGCGCAACCATGACTGAACACTGGTCCCATTGGGCCCCTTTTCTAGGGGTCTAATGGCTCTTTAAGGAGCGCTGGGAACGCGACGATCCATTATATTACTAGTTTACGTGCTAGTCCATTTGTGAAATTTACCTTAACAACAGTATTTGTAGTAGGTATAGTGAATAATATATTATATTGGACAGTCATAAATTGACTCACAAGGTCGCTCGTTGTTGTCACGTGACGAAATATGTAGTGTGTCTAGGTGTTTATTATTTGACTGCACTTGATGGGTAACTTGCTGCTGCAATCGGGGTTAAAATCAAAACGGAACGATTTTTGTGTGGTCCACATTCTGTTGTTCCTGGTCTCAAAGCATATACATATTTATAATAGACTAGCTACTCTCGAGCGGTTTCACCCGCCGCTCAGCTCCATTTAATCGTAGCGTGATGTTTTATAGCCTATAGCGCTCAGGAACATTGTAGCTATCTACCAGTGAATTTTGGCAATCTGACCAGCGAGCGGTTCCAAAGATTACCCATTACAAACAAACTTACAAATTTTACCTCTTTATAATATTAGTATAGATCAGTGTAGGCTGTAGGCACTTTAGAACGTGAAACAACAAAAAAACAAAACATTCAACTTCGTGTCTGTCGGTCTGTCCTCTAGTGAAGCTATTGGCTCGTTCCAAATCTTATATTCCTATGAAGAAGAACAAGCAAGAAACTCCAAGGTCTGGGTGTAATGTATATGTGAGATTGTACGTTTGTAATCCCACCCACGTCACAGGAGAAAATCCTAGTGCGGAGGCACGTTTTGCACGACTAAAGTCGACCGAGGACGCTGCTGCCTGGTCTCGTCAAATGTGTAGTCAAATGGTTGTTTCTTTCTATGTGATAAGACTATCAACGACTTCAGACTTATAATCTGATGGCAAGCAATCAGTGCCCACCATGGACACCCGCAACATCAGAGTGGAGGAGTTATGAGTGCGTTTGCCGGCCTTTTTGGTATTAAGGTCTCGGAGATTTAGGCTTTGGGGAGGAAAAGAGGGATTGGGGCTCCGGTATCCTCTCTCATACAGCGAAACAGTGCTGTGCTTGTTTCATACCGGTCTTCTGTTAAGTTTCCGGACTAGTAGAGCGATTCTTCAGCTAGGACAGCGGGTGCAACCGCCAATAATGACCCGGGTCGGAAAGAGAAGGGATATGGTGTTTTTTAGTCAGTAAAAATAATTATCTTTTTTTTTTGTTATTAAACTGGTCGGCAAACGAGCGGACGGATTACCTGATGGTAAGCAATCAGCGCCGCCCATGGACACCCGAAACACCAAAGGAGTTACGAGTGCGCTGCCGGCCTTTTAGGGATAAGGGTTTCAATTTTTTAATGATTGGGAAGGGATGGGGTAGGTGTGAGATTGTGCCTCCGATAACCTCACTCACACGGCGAAACACAACGCTGTTGGTTGTTTCACGCCGGTTTTCCGTGAGGCCGTGGCATCAGTCCGGTCGAGCCGACCCATTCGTGCCGAATCTTGGCTGTCCCACACTTAATCTGAAATTGTATCTTGCCACACCCAGGGCGGAAACAGAAGAATTTAGAGGAATTTCAGCCCCTCAAAATAAAATGGTCATTTCTCACGTTACTTCTCCCAAGAAAGACCTAGAGTTAAAAATGTATTCTATTTTACTCTGCCCTCAGCCTCCGGCCCGCCCCCCCGCTTCGCACTGGTCGAACTATCTCGCTAATAAAGGGCAATCTTCCCCTCTACTTTTCTGATATTTTCTTTGATAAGAACCTTCACCTGACAATAACAAACACAACAAAAAAAGAATTAACAAAATTGGTCCAGGCGTTGTTGAGTTATGCGCTTACCAACACATTTTTCTATCCATTTTTTTTATATGTAAAGATTATATAATTTCTTGACGACATTACTTACATATGGTCGCCAAATTTGCTATTAATTATGCTAGTCGGCAAAAATACTCTAACTTTGTTTATGTAGTATTATCTTGCACTCTAAACAAATAGTACTTAAGTATAATTTCGTGTAGCATGTGTTGTTGTTGTTGTTGAGTTCAAGGTTATTGTTAGTCTGTCTTATCAATTCTCACTAAGACGGTAATATATTTTAAAAGCCGCCTCTTACGATGTGATTTTTAGGATCAGGAAAATACTTTTAAAACGTAATGATAGTTATAACAGTCATTTAATTGCATTCCATAAAGTGAATAGTGTAGTGCAACAAAAGACTTAAACTTGACTTCACTGCACGTTTGGTGCGGTGGCTGGGCAACTGGCTGCCGTGCAACGTGTCGCAGGTTCGATTCCCGCACGGAACAACTGTTTGTGTGATCCACAAAATTGTTGTTCCTGGTATGGGTGTCATGTGTATGTGAAATTGTATGTTTGTAACCGCACCCACGACACAGGAGAAAATCCTAATGTGGGGCAACGTTTTTTTTAAAGAAGAAGAAAAGAAGAAGAAGAAACTTAAGTAATAGTTTTGGAAAAGTGCAAGGTCATAGCAACCTTTTTCTTAACGTTGGCCCACACTGGGATTTTCTCCTGTGTCGTAGGTGCGTTTACAAACATAAATTTTCACATATACATCACAACCAGACCCGGAACAACAATTTGTGGATCACACAATTAGTTGTTTCCTGCGGGAATCGAACTCGCGACACGTTGCTAGGCAACCAATTGCTTAGCCACAGCGCCAATCGTGTAGTCATGTCACTCTTGGAAAAAATATCTTTTATAATTAAACAATAAATCAATATCGAGACTAACATTACTGAAGCGACGTCGACCCAGCATGCTCATGAATAAGAGTCCCGTTGTGACTTAAAACTAGTTGAGCTTTTCTCAGTTAATTCTCCTAAGTACAAATACAAATACCGCCAACGTATCTTGTCGAGTCTGAAGTTAGCCGATTATCTAGCTGCGCAGTACACAATTTTGTTCCTAAAAGATCCATTGCGCAGACAGACGGCTAACTTCAGACTCGCCAAGATACGTCGGCCGTACTGTATTTTGGTTTTATTGTAATTTTTTTACTTTAGGAAAAATGAATATTTTAATAATACATATATTAATTATATTTTTAATTGTTGTAATGTTTATTATAAATAAAAAGTATACTTAATTTATATTTTTAATTAATTTAAAACCGAAATTACGGTTGAACAGACAAACGGCTAACTTCAGACTCGCCAAAATACGTCGGTCGTACTGTAAGTCGTTATTTTGTAGCTCACCGCCCGACCAGGTTTAGCTGGGATTGCGAAGCAAACGCAATAAATAAGGTACCGGAGCCTTGGTCTAGAGCTGGAGAAGGAACGGAAGAGTTTTTAGTCAGTAAGAGTCTGACACTCTCTCGCCTTACCCTGAGCAAGAAAAGTCATTTCATGATTTTCCCCTCGCAAAAAAAATGTTCCTTACGATGTTTCCTTTCACCGCATGTCAGTAGTGTCTAAATAATCATAGAATGTACATATAACTCGACAAAAAGTCTCTTTGGTATGTGCTAGATTTCGAACCCTCATGCATGAGAAGCGGGTGCCTTAACCTCTGTGGAATTATTTTATTGTTTTTACGGCCGAATTTTCAATAGTCATAAATGTTATCTGAGAAAGAAAATTGTTGCTGTCACTGTCTTAAACAAACATTCTGACGCGACAGCATCATAATTATTCCCCAGGTAACTTTTATCTAACCATTAAAAAATCAGGCCTAAATAGTAATTTTTCTTTTGTTCCAGCTATCCACGAAATCGCACACAATCTCGCTTTCGGCCATAATAGGCCTTTAGCAAACAAACTATTTGGATTCTTCGCGAACCTACCTATAGGGCTGCCTGTATCTATCAGCTTCAAGAAATATCATTTGGAACACCATAGGGTAAGATTTTATTTATAACTAGCTTTTGCCCGCGACTTCCTGCAGATTTTTGGTATAAAAACTATCCTATGTCCGTTCTCTAGTTCTAAACTATGACTGTACCAAATTTAACTCAAATCGGTTCAGTAGTTTAGGCGTGAAGAATAGACAAACAGACTGACAGAGTTACTTTCGCATTTATAATATCAGTTTGGATAGGGCAAACGAGCAGACGGATGTCCTGATGGTAAGTGATCAGCGACGCCCACAACACCAGAGGAGTCATAGGCGCGTTGCCGGCCTTTTAAGAAGGAGTACGCTCGTTTCTTGAACGTTTGAAGGTTCGGAAGACTTGTAGTACCCCTTGGTATAACGAGGGCTTGGCCATGGGCGGCGCTGATTGCTTACCATCAGTTAATCCTTCTGCTCGTATAAAGTAACTTGTCGTAATGCAGATTAAGATCCTTGCTAGTAGATAGTATGTGTTGCTTTCGTCCGTGCGTCACTTCAGGGGTGCCAACTGAAAATCAGTGTTGGGTGCTCTGTGCCCAGCTTTTGCTGAGTTGGAGACTCATTCTGATGGGGCATGTCTGCCAACCCTTTTTATTTTTTTTTGGTGTCGGATTGGAAAATCCTCTTGGAGACCCACCGCCCTCGGGGTAAGGGCGAAGGGTACGGTCAGACTCTTACTGACTAAAAACCAACCCGGTGTTCCTACATTTACCCATGTGTCGGAGGGGCGGGTATCGCCGAAGCATTCGTCGCAACCCCCCGACGGGTATTGGCCCGCCAGATGGTAAGGCGGGCCCCGTCACCCACTGCGGCCGTCACCCCGACCGCAGGACTCCACTATGAGGCGCGCGCGGAAAACGGCGCCGCCGCCTCGAGGCCTGCTGCTGGTCGGACGACTAGACGCCCCGAGTCTGTCGTCCGCAGGCCGCGCCCTACGGTGGCCGCAGGTCGGCCACTCTACGACGTCTAATGTCTGCCAACCCTGGGGGCAATTATTGTTAGTCTGTTTTACGGTTTTAATTTTGTTTTTATTGTATTTTGTTGTTCGGTCATTCGAACCATTTTTTTTTTTAATTTTTTGTTCTCGGCTTTCATGTTTGATCTATACTTCTATACTAATATTATAAAGAGGTAAAATTTGTAAGTTTGTATGTTTGTAAGTTGTAATGCCAAATTTACGCTGTTTGGATTGCCAAAATTCTTTCATTGATAGCTATAATGTTCCTGAGTGCTATAGGCTATAAAACATCACGCTACGATCAAATGGAGCCGAGCAGCGGGTGAAACCGCGCGAGAGTAGCTAGTACCAAATAAAAACAGATTTCTTTTTTCTAAAGATAAATAAGTTATATTAAAAATAAACTTTTCATTACAGTACCAAGGAAATGAAGTTATAGACACAGATCTCCCAACGTTGTTGGAAGCGAAACTATTCTGTACCACTGGTGGCAAGTTACTCTGGCTCTTCCTCCAGCCGTTCTTCTACAGCTTCCGACCTCTAGTCGTCAGGCCTAAGCCACCGACTCCGATGGAATTAATCAACCTAGTCATTCAGCTGTTCTTCGATGCCGTCGTCATTAAACTTTGGGGTGAGTTTTTTATACATTTATTTGATCATCTTAACACCTAACTCCTGAATCCTCCATCCACAATACGGTAGTTTCCAACTAGTCAAATTCAATACTTTTATCGGAATGTCAAAAACGATACTTTTCTATGTGTGCCTATTTGTCGAATAAATGTGTTTTCTTTCTTTCTTTCTTTCTTTCTTCTTCTATGAAATTTGTATGAAACACTGAGTTGTGACGTCATAGTATTTTTACATCAAATAACTTACTTATTTCTTAAAAAATATCTAAAATTTAGTGTATCGATCGATCGGTGAAAAGTATAGTTATTCTTCAATATTGTATTGTATTGAAACAGCCAGTAAATTTATTTTCGACCCAGGAAACTTCCCAATTCCAAAGGATGGTCGTCAATTCACTCTTAACTTTGAAATGCCCATGGGGGATGTCGATTGCTTACCATCAGATAAGCCACCTGTTCAATTGCCGCCCTATAGATTAAAAGGTTCTCCCAGCCATGCTTCGGCACTAATGGGTCGGCTCGACCGGAGTGACACTACGGCCTCCCAGAAAACTGACGTGAAACAACCACAGTGTTGTGTTTCGCTGTGTGAGTAAAGTTACCGGAGGACCTAGCCTTCTCCTACCCCTATCCCCAAAAAGTCGGCAACGCACTCGTAACACCTCTGTTGCAGAAGTTAATGCGTATGCTCGTTTGCAGACCTATTACATAAAAAAAACACCAAATTAAATTATGTTTGAAAATTGTCTGTTTCAGGTTGGAAAGCGATCGGCTACCTATTAATTGGTGCCTTGATGGCGATGGGAGTTCATCCCGTAGCTGGTGAGTTATTTTAAACTGTATAATAATAGGTCTTTACCTATGAAATTGCCGTTCTGCAGTACTGGCCATGTCAAATCAAAATAGTTTTTGTTAGGCTAAGGCTAATTAATTTTGTTTTAAAAACATGGGATTCTTTTTCTAAAAGTAGTCATCCGTTTATTGATTAGTGTTACATTTTCATCGCATTTCAAATAAAAAAAATCGTTTAAATTTTTTCATGCAAAACGGCAATTTCATAGGTAAAGACCTATTATAAATTTTAACGAAAAAAAAATTTATCTTTAGTATAGTTTAAACCATTGAGTCGAGTTTTGTATAATAATCTTATTCTCACCTACCTTCAATTTGAAAGTCAAAAACTGGCTCAATGGTTGAATCCAGAAAAGAAAAACCTTGTTTTGTAATGAGGTCGTAATATATTTTCTGGAAAGATATATATGTAAATATGTATTTTTATAAACGCACCCGCACTACATAGGACAAAATCCCATAACGCTTTTTTCGATAAAAAAATAAGTTTTTTTTTACATATTATTTTCATTAAATATTTGATTTTTAGGAAATAATAGTTTTTTTTTAATATAATGTTTCAATTATTATGTTTTCGGCTTACTCACGTAATAATTTGACGAGATACTCGCCTAGAATATGGGCCTCTAGCATGGCTTGAAACTAGTCGAGTATCTCGTCAAATTATAACGCGAGGAAGTCGAAAACATATTTAATTTAGAATGTCTCAAGAATTTTTTTTTTTTGTTTTAAAAAACATTGCTCCACACTAGGATTTTCTCCTGTATCGTGGGTGCGTTTACAAACATACAATTTCACATGCACATGACACCCAAACCCGGAACAATAATCTGTGGATCACACAAATAGTTGTTCCGTGCGGGAATCGAACCCGCGACACGTTGCGCGGCAACCAATTGCCTTGCCACAGAGCCAATCGTGTAGTCAAGTCACTTTTGAAAAAAAAAATCTTTTATAATTAAACAATCAAATTAGTCAATATAGCCAATTGCCCAGCCACCGCAACTCATAATAAAAATAATATTTTCTCCCGTTTACAGGTCATTTTGTAGCTGAACACTATATGTTTAAGAAGGGTTACGAAACCTATTCTTACTACGGACCTCTGAACTGGATTACATTTAACGTTGGATATCACAACGAACATCACGACTTCCCAGCGGTACCCGGCAGTAAACTACCTGAGGTGAGCACAGACTAAACAGACTTGTAACGTAGCGACATCTATTGGCAGACACATCACATCAACAGCCTAGTAGCGCCATCTGCTGAGCAAATGCCTCTACTCACACGGAGAAGGTTTGAGCATTTATCACCTATCTTGCTCAAGGATGATTGGCGATTTCGAAATTGTAATTAGAAGTTATAAGTCCAGGTTTCCTCACAATGTTTTTATTTACCGTATGCCAGTGGTGTCTAAATAATCATAGAAAGTACTTGGGAAAAAATCATATTGGTTCAAGCCAGGTTTCGAACACGCACACTCATGCATGAGAAGAGCGCGTATTACCTTCAGGGCGAAAACGCATAAAATATAATAAAATAAAATCATTTACGGTTTTTGTAAGTCCAAGAGCGGAGCCAGCAGCTTCAGCCATTTCTATACTTAAATAGCAGCTCCTCGATATCACTATAAATACCAATAAAAGTTGATAACAGCACTAAAAACACTTGTATACACACGTTAAAGTTGATAGAGCGCCTAATTTCGCCACATTATATAGCCTAACTATAAGGTAATAAAATTTAAGTATTGAAAAAAAAAACATTCCTTTTTTATTCGGCAAACGAGCAGACGGATTTCCTGATGGAAAGCAATCAGCGCGATGTCCATGGACTGTTACGAGTGCGTTTCCAACCTTTTACGGATTAGGGATTTGGAGATTTAGGGACTGGGAAGGGATTGGGGAAGGGGGAAGGTTGGGCCTCCGGTAACCTCACTCACACGGCGAAACACAACGCTGTGGTTGTTTGACGCCGGTTTTTTATATTTAACTATGCTAAATACTGTTGTCATAATTATGTTAATTAGATTAGTTCTAGTTATAATTTCTTTATATTTTGTCTGTACAAACGCATAATTTTAAGAATGTTGGTTAGCTCGTAATTGGCTAATGTATAAGACAGACTACCTATAACGAATACTTCTAACTACTTTGTATTAGCTATGTGCGCGACGGTGGCGACGCGTAGCGTTTACAACATTAGCGGAAGCTGTCAAATAATAACAATGTAAACATTATAATTTCCTTTGCAAATATAAATAGAACCAAAGATTAAAATCGTATTGTTGACATTATTTAAGTGTAATTTATTCAATAGTTTAACTGTAATTAAAACCGACAGCTGATCATCCGCATTTGTTTCCAATTTCTGCCGTGTTGTGCGCTGCGGTCGTTATCTGTCAGCCACTACTGGCCTTCCACATAGCCAATACATCTGCTGCTGAGCAGAGCTGTCAGCTTACCCCATAATTAATACCTTGTTTCATATCCACTACCTTGAACTCTTTTTAATTTCAATAACTGTAAACTATTTGTTGTTTACCCAGGTACGCCGCATCGCTCCGGAATTCTACGACACATTGCCACATCACGATAGCTGGTCGAAGGTACTATACGACTTCGTGATGGACCCCGACATCGGACCCTACGCTAGAATCAAGCGCAAGCACCACGGACTTGACAGTTAAGTTGGTAGCGCTGTATTCCGTGGTTGTTTTCCTAATGTTGGTAGAGCGCTTGCGATGTTTTTGAAGAGAACGCCATCTAGTGCCGGACTTGTGTAACTTTGTGTTTTTTATACTTAAGCAATTTATTGCATTTGCTTATAAATGTTTTCTGTTTATGGTATTTCTTACCTAATTGCCTTGATAATCATTAACGAAACCATTGCGTTTTGTTCATCGGCTAAAACAGTCAGTCTTGTCACAAAAAAAACAAATCACAAAAATAAACAAAAATAATTTATTCTTCATTAAATTATTAGTAAAGTATCGATGATATTATTTCGTGTTTTTACCTAAAAACCATCGCAAGCGCCGTCTACAAACGTGGAAGCATTGATTTGTAAAACCTAATTAGTTTATTTTTTTTATATAATAATAAATTATGGATTTGATTAGAACTACGATATTACTTTACGTGTACCATATGTATTATTTTTTAATTATAAGTTTAAATTGTTTTAGCTTATTTTAAAGATATCTCATATATTAAATAATACTTTTTTGTTTTTTTTTTCTTATTATTATTAAGTTTTCATCACTGCTTTGTTGGCCTTTAACTTCAGTTCCTGGGGTGGGCAAAGTGTTATTACTGTTTTATAACATTTCTAACATCATGAAGTTATGATATAACCCGATTATTACATTTGCCCACCTTTTTAAATAATTTAAATGACATAAATGTCGCCAAGTAGTCAATGTTTCTAAATACACCTCTGCCTTTACCTAAGAATTACAAGCGTGATGTTATGTTTATGTTTAAGTTACATCTTTTGTATAAATATTATGTATATTATCTTTATTTTTTATTATAAATTATGTTACTTATAGAAAAAGATTTTTTTTTATTGTATTAACACAAAATACTTAGATAGCTAAAAAATCTAGAAATTTTGACAAATATTATTTGAAAGTGATTTTAAAATATAGAAAAGAAACTTATCGTCATACGAATAAGAGTTGAAATCGCTTAAACATGAAATTTGTCGAAATTTCTAACAAAATGAGAAACTATAATAAAATTATAGTTGATGTAAATAAAGAAAAGAGTTTGCATTTATAACACAATTTTGACTCACACACACACATTATATTGTTTGGGTACTTGTCTAAGTCGAATAAAAATAAAGAAATAATAATAATAGCCACACATTCATTCATTCGCTTTACGATAGAGTTAAACTTCGTATTTTTTTAGAAAAAAAGATATAAAGAAAGATAGCTTACTAGCCGAGTCAGCAATATTTTGCCATATCGACATATATAAAAATGCTGGACTAAAATAGGCAAATCAAGTATAATTTATAGCCTATAGCACTCAGGAACATTGTAGCTATCTATCAGTGAAAGAATTTTGAAAATCCGACCTGCGGTTTCAAAGATTACCCCCCACATACAAATTTGCAAATTCTATCTGTTTACAATATTCTTAAAAACCCCACAAAAGTTTCAAACAAAAAAATATAACATTAATTAATTGTAGATTTGCTTCAAAAAGCGAAACTATGAATGCTAAATCTCTTTTGACTTCTAAACAAGTGCCCAATCGGTTCTTTAAACATAAGTGTTGAGAATGGGACGTACTATAAGTACTAACCTACCCCTTTCGGGGTAAAAGCTTAATGTTATACGTTATACAGTATCCAGCGATAAATAAATATAAATACACTAGCCGGCCTCGCTTCGCACAGGTATCCAACTATCTCGCTTACGACAAAAGGGTTCCTTTATCCCAGATATACCCACTACTTTTCAAAAAAAATATTTCATATCACGTTTCTCTTGACAATAACAAATTGAGAAACAAAAAAAGAATACGGTAGTTTCCAACTAGTCAAATTCAATACTTTTATTCAAATGTCAAAAACGATACTTTTCTATGAAATTTGTATGAAACACTGAGATATGACGTCGTAGTTTTTTGCGTCAAATAGTTTAAAAATTAGCTTAAAATTATCTAAAATTCAGTGTTTCGATCGATCGATGAATAAAAGTATAGTTATTTTTCTATATTGTATTGTATTGAAACGTCGAATTAATTTATTTTTGACCTAGCCTCCTGAGTCCGCCATATTTTTTTTCCACTATGTGTAAAAGACCGACTGTTCTTTATAAAGAACAAAATGGAAGAGTGCCGTAAGTCCTGAGACTTTATTTTGTAATTACAGTGTTACCATTGCAGATCATGATTTTTGCCAGAACAAAAGTTTTTTGTAAGATTTTTTATTTTTGTTTATCATAGTTTACTTTGACCAGCTATTTGTTCTTTAAAAAGTACTTCCGGTCATAATACACAAAAGTAGGAATTGAAAATTGTTCGTTTTATAGGACTTTCGGATGTGATAGCATCTAGACTATCATAATAAATATAGTTAAACTCAATTCTGTTTATGTTCAAAAATCAAATTATATTTTATTTTAATACGTTTTTAACAATTGTGACAAATTATTACAAATTTGCTTATAATATTAAAAAAAAATCTAGTAAAAGTTACTTAAAATCGAAATTAGATAAAGAAGAATCAGATGTTCTTAACACAAAAATAAACAAAAATTCAAATTACTAACATATTTTTTTTAAATAAGAGAAAATTATTTATATGTAACCGCTACTATTGCAAATTGTTACATCAACAAGAACACATCTTATACTTATCACAATAATTGGTAACGAAAAATCAGTTAGCTTGCTTAGCAAGTTTAGGATACTTCTAATATGAGATCACAATATTAAAGAATCAACTTATCAACAGTTAAAACAATCTCAGCCTAATCTCTCTCATGGAAGATTTTAAAACAGTTTCTTTTTGCTGTCAGACATAAAGATAAATTGCACCCAATACATTTAACTGAGGTCTTCTTGGTACAGCCTTGATTCCTGCAGCGATGTTGAACACTAGACATATCTGGCAAATGATCGATTCCATGCTTTCTTTTTGCTTTTGAAGGTAGTGGTACAATAGGTGGTCGCCGAACGACTACATTTGTTTCAGTTTCTGGAATACCATCATCATCAAATGATACATTTTTGTAAACATTATCATCGATAAGCTTTTCAGCTATTCGCATTTTGTATTCTCGTAATTTAAATATTTTGTGAGGCAGTAATCCTTTTTTTAACTGATCTTGTTTGTACTTAATCCAAGAATTGGTTACAGCAAGGTCAATGAAATGGGAAATAAATCGAACAGTCCACTTTCTTGTTTTTGCTCTTGCTGGACAAACTGCCATCAGTCTATCAACCAAATCAACACCTCCCATGTTTCGGTTGTATTCTTTTATGACTTCTGGGCGAGAGACGTCAATATATGCCCTTGTTTGCCTATTATATCTTCTGCAGTAATCGGTATTTTCAGCAGCATAAACCGTTGAAAGTAGTATTACCGGTTTGTTATCCATCCATTTGGTAATGGCAATTTTACCATCATTTCTTACGAGAACGTCGTGGCTCCCTCTTCCTCTTCTCATTAAAGTCTTGTCATCGGTAATTGTTTCTCTCACTTCGACAGGGACCCTGTTCTTCATTAGTGTCCCGACACATTTAAAACCTCTGGTATCAAGTTCATTTGCTAATCTAACTGTTGTAAAATAACGGTCAAAATATAATATATGACCTGGAACCAAAGATTCGGTGAGCTTCAAAACAATTTTTTCGCCTAGATGAAATTGAGACCCATTTTCAGCAATTACGGTATCTTTACCCTGATATATTATTATGTCACAAACAAGACCGTTAGGATTGGCAAGAACGAAAGCTTTTATTCCCGTTGGATTCGGTTTCCTGGGACAAAACTGCCTTATAGGGCAAGCGCCGGTAAAGGGAATTATCATTTCGTCTATTGACATTTTGTGTTCCTTCAACTGTTTACGACAACCTTGTAGAACCCTGTCAAAAATAGGTCGCACTTTCCATAATTTATCGTCTCTTTTCATTTCCGCCGTAATGTCATTATCAAATACTACTTTAATAGAGTTTCTCAATAAAAAATATCGGTCACGAGTCATGGCTTGCGAAATTATTGGTAGTGCATACTGACGGTTCCAATAAAGCCTTATTTGTGAGAATGGAATACATGCCATCATCATTGTGATCCCGAAATATATCTTGCATTCTTCCTTGGTGAAATTAAGACTTCTTCCTGTCCTTTCTATAGCTGTTTGGTTTGATTTTGTCACTATATGTTCTATAATGTCGTCATCAACATACTGTTCAAAATAATCAAATATGTTGTCCGAATTTACATCCGATGGCAAATATGACGGCTCCTGGAGTTGGGGTATAGGAGCGGTAAAGGTACCCCTGTTCCATTCACCCTCTTGTATAATTTCTCGCAGACAAGACGTGCTGCCGCCACGGGTACGTACACCACGACGACCTCTTATCCCTCTTATTCGAACACCTCCTCTTGTTCGAACTCCTCTCGATCGAACTCCTGTAGTCACTACTTCAGTGTCTGAATTGCTACCTTCGTCGGATGAGGAGCTATGATGATTTTCCAAATCACGATTAACAAAATAAGTTTCATCATCTGATACATCCTCGAAATCTGACTGGTTCAGTATATCACTAATTTGGTTTTCTGACAAATCTGAAATGACAAAATAAGTGGGTATTAATTAAAAAAATATAGTTTCCTAATATTTATGAATATTAAAACAATAATACATTAATATTTCAATTTACCCCAAAATGGTATTAACTTAACGTGAGTGGCAACTAAAAAACAAATAATAAGGAGATAACATTAAACTGTTACTATAAAAGCCGAAAGTACTTTAAAAAGAACACAAAATGGCAGGCTACTATTATAGTAAATACCGAAATACCTTTTAAAAGAACATTTTTTCAAAAGCCTAATAAATACGTACTCCTGGCACTTATTCGTAAAAAATTGTGAAAACAATAAAATATAACATATTAGCAATTTAAAAACATAACTCAATGCACAATTGAACAATAGATTAATAACATATTCAAAGATTAACTTACCTCTACTCTGTCGGCCTTCCATTTTCAACTACGCACGCCGGTAAACTAAATGATTATTAATTTTGTTATTGGCTCATTTCATTCACGAACATTTGAGCATCTGAATTTTGATTGGTCAAAGGAATCAAATACAGCAGGTCCAACATTAAAAACGAAAAATTTAAATGTGTGTTAAAAAGGACATTCGGTT